CCAACACCACCTTTCCAGCAACTACTGTACAATTGACAGTACCCCAACATGCATGAACATTAGGTTTTTCCTGTTCAGTAGCTTCTGAGGACCTGTTTAGAGGTAACTCCAGGGCCTGGACAACCAGAAATGAACTGTAGCTTCTCTGAGGCACAAAGGAGGAAAAACCATTTCCCTTGCATATATCTTGGATCTTTAGTGGGCTTGTAAGTTTGATAGACAAAAGACAGATGATCAGGAGGCAAGTGAATAGTGGTTCATTAATACGTCTTTGAGTTGATGAAGCAAGTCCAGCCACGTGTGCAAGGTTTGTCACTGGGTGCAACCATCCGGTAGGCAGCCTACATGAGCAGCAGAAAAGAGGGCAAAATGGACAGATTTAGGTTAGGACGGTAATTTTGAAGGTGAACTACTTGTGGTTTCCTGATCCTTGGGGCAGCAGGGATGGAGTCCTGGTGCTTATAGGTCCTCATAAGATTTGAGGGAAGGTTTTGAACACATTCAGGACTGTGTATGATCTTTGTTCTTTTCTCACCTGTTAATTGAATATCCTCCCACGCTTCCACCATCCACTTTCTTCCCTCTCATCCTCCATCCATCAGGATCAGAACTGTTCTTTTGTCAGTTCTCCCACTAGAGCCAAAGGACAAAGGCAAGCTCCCAGCCCCCACTGTGGGAGATGTGATAGACTTGCCCCAAAACACCAGAGAAGGAGATGATTCGTGGTGAAAAGCTGGGAACGTAGGCTTACTAAATGTGGCCAAGAAGAGGAAAAGTAAAATTAATTAAAGAAGAAAACTAAAATTAATTTGAGGAAAACAAAAAGCAAAACAAACAAACCCAGGGCCGATGACCTGAGAAACCAGCCTTTCTGTGGGCGTAAGAAAACAGGCTCCAGTTTACCCAAGGCAACCTGTCCTCTGGCCCTCTTGTTTGCTTGAGAAAACAAATGTACGCTTAACTTTTGCTTCTGTCTTGGCAGACATGCCTTCCTTCTTAGAATTGCAACTCATGGCCCCCTACTCTTTTTATAACCCTGTAGGTTAGAGACTTCTGTGCATTGCTGTAAGCCACATAGACCCCTGCACGTGGTCCACTGTCACACAGGCTTGGAGGTTCCATGACGAGGGTGCACACGAGTGCCAGAGAGGGTCTGAAATGATGCTGAATTGTCTTATATAGTGGAAGGAGCCTGTGGTCTATTGGTCAGGCTTTGGGGGTAACTCCCCTCTGCCTGCTGAGGCAAGATCAGAAATAAAAACTGTGGCTTTTAGTTTGTCCCCAGGTGCCTGATTTGAAACCAGAGGTTTCTGTTACAGTTTTTCCCTGGGAAGAGGAACGAATGTGGGGTCAAGTGGGGGCGGGCAGTGACTCCCAGGCCTGGCTTCTATGTACATATTAATAAGTTTGATCAAAGTGTGGTCTGGTTGGTTATTATCTCAGCTGGTTATTATCTCAGTTGGTTATTATCTCTGGTTCTGCAAAGTGATTTGAAGGAGTTATCACTGATGGGAGTGACCTGCTTCTTGTAGGATGCTTATTCTTGCTCCCCGGTGTGTGTCATCACAAATCATTGCCCTTATTTGGAGGGAGATCTGTCTAACAAGGCTTGTCATTGTGTTACGGAAAAATCAGAGATGAACAGCCAAAGTCAAGTGAGGAGAAGGAGTTTAATTTCCTGCTAGTGGGACTGACACACGGATCCTTCCGTAAAGGAGTCAGCCCTCTACTCCAGTTTTTGGGGATCTTTATACGCATGTGAGGAAATGCAAGCAAAAAGCAAAACAGCATATGCTTGATAATCAAGTAAGGTAACCACAAAGGTTACAGAAATGCAAAGGCCTTGGGAAACAAAGACTTCTATACTAGGTAAAGGTTACAGAAATGTGGTAGCTTTGGAAAACAAAGATTTCTATCCTGGGTAATCGCAGGGGGGTGGTGGAAGATTCCTGTTCACCTCCCCATTTCTATCTCCAGGCTTTTCCTGCTCCAAATTTCTTAATTACCATCACATTGTTGATGCTTTCTTCTGTTTTCATTATAAGTGTTTGAGAGAAGTTGGGTCCTGTCATAAAGATGTTCATAGGTTAGTCTTGTTCCTGGAATCCAAGGTGACTGCAGGTTTAGGACAATGACTGGAGATCTTTGGGTACCTTTGGGAGCCTGAGCAGAAAATAAGAAAATAAGGCTGAGAATAAGATGCCTCTGTCACTCTTTCTCTTTGTCACTGTGGAGCAGAGTCCTTTTTATAGGTGCTTAATCTTGTTAATTAAATAATTAAAAAACGGGACTCAAAGGGGAACTTGAGGACGGTTTTATATGCCTTTATTGGAGTTTAAGTTATTACAATAGGGCAGACAGACTGGAAATCTTGGCAGCTTCTGGGATGAGGGAGATGGAAAGAGAAGGACTAGAACAAGTTACACCATCAATAGATATTAGAAAAAGAACATGATATACTGCGAAGGGAAAGAACTGGCCCCCAGGACCTTTGTTATTGATGGAGGTACAAAATTGCCCTTCTCCTAGGGAGAGGTGGGCCTTGGGTATAAAGCAGGGCTCCATCCTTCCAAGCCGACCAGCAAGGAAACATTCAGTTTGCTTTACCCTAAAAGTCCTGTGAAAGTTGTTACGGGTAGCCTAGAACTTAGACTGTGTTTAAGATAAGAAGTAGTAATAATTATCCGTGTTTACTGTAGCCCTGTCAACTTTAGTTTTATTACCATTGGGCTAGGAAGAGACAAACTAGTTATACCTACTCTTCTCAGTTTACCCTTAGTGTTGAGACCTGGAAGGAATAATTAACATGATCCATTGCTGCCAATTGACCTTTTAGTTTTGTGGTAGTTTAAAAATCCCTGACACTTGCTCATTTTTACTTACAATTTGTTATAAGAAGTTTGTGGGTCTTTACCACTTACTGGGAGGCCAGTTCTCATTGATGTTTAGTCTATCAATGGGAGACCCATCACTGAAAATGAGTTACAAGCAGCTTGGAGAGTTTCCATTTCAGCACTTAAAATCTGGCTCCTGTTTAATTATCTTCCAGGGTGTTCCTGAACACGGATCATTGCCATTTGTCCCAGAGAAAGCTGATCTAGTGATGTTCTCATTTCTCAAATGGTACCTGGGAAGAAGAATATTGCAGAGGGCCTCTTCCCTCCCTGCCTTTTGCTTTTAGTCTCAATGGAGATGAGACAAGCTAGGCATCACCTTTGGACAGATAAACCTTGAGTGATTAATATGCCTATGTGCAGAGGTAAACAGGGCTCTTGTCAGTAGAAGCTGGGATACAGCTCAGTGCTGCTGACTGTGGATCTGTTTGGTGGTTTTTGAAGTACATTACTTAAAAAGTTAAAATATTAAATAAAAAGGTTTGCAATCCTTCGTATATGTATCTATACACACATACACATGTATACACACACATATATATACACATATGTTGTACATACACACATATAAACAGAGAAAGGTTCATGAGCTCCTTGGGAGCCTCTGATCACACTGGTTTCTTTGGGAACCTCAGAAAGTACGAGAGGTACCAGGAAGCCAATGGAAATGTCTTTCCAATTACAGAGGGATGATAGATTATGAAAATTGTAAGATGCTCTAAGGTGTTATACCAATCCCTAGGAATGTTTCAGAATAATGTTCAACATAATTTTGAAAAGAAACAAGGAGCATTGAGTGCTAACATAGCATCACTAAGGCATATCTCTCCACTAACAAGCCTGCCAATTTATAGAAGGGGAAAAATGTCTCTTTATTTTGGCAAAACAGGACAAAAATATAGATAACTATCACAAAGAGCATAAGAAAAAAATTAATCAATTTCATAATAAGATTAAGGCCATATTAACATCAATCTTTTTCATAGAATGTAGTCTCCTTTCTGTTTAGTTTAATGAACTAAAGGAAGGAAACCAAAGTGCATGCTCATCAGATTTATAGTTGATACAGTATTGGGATAAATACAAAATACATGGAATAATAGAATAAAGTAAATTACAAGATAAATTACAATGTTATGTTCTATGATTGGTTTTGAAATAGCCATTGTAAAAAATTCAAGAGGAGGAGGGATGACATGATAAAAGTATTGAATAAAATACTGATTAGGGTTTTCTGATTCTAGTTGACTTCCCTTTTTAATTAAAAAATTAATTTTTATTTTATATCTGCCTGCATGTAAGTGCATTCATGTCATGCAGTGTCTGCAGAGGCCAGAAGAGGGCATCAGATCCCCTGGAACTTGAGTCACAGACTGTTGTGAACCGCCATGAGGGTGCTGGCAGCTGAACCTGGGTCTTCTGCAAGAGCCACCAGTGCTCTTAACTCCTGAGCCATCTCTCCAGCCTTGTAGCTGACTTTCTTTATTAGTTTAGAGTGTAATTCATTAATAATTTTTGAAGTTCATCAGAACAATGTAAGGTCACATAGGAAAGAATGATGAGTCTTATCTAATGATATTGAGGCAGGCAGGAGCATGTACACTGAGGATAATGAGCAAAAGTTCCTAAGGTTGATGGCGACAGAGCAGGATACTTTACAAAGAGATAATTCCTTTTTAAACAAACAATAATACAGATTTATCTGTGAGTTCAATTTTTTTTCTTGCAGAAAAGGATTAAGGAAGCAAAATAGACTGAAAAATTTGGAATTTCAAATAAGGTTTTAACACAGGGGAAAAGATAATTAAATTAAGAGTGGATGTTCCAAAGGAATTTTATTTGCCTATGTGCTTGAGGTCAGACATCAGGCCTTGTTTGAGAACTTCTAAATAAGCTCTTTTTAAAATGGGATTTATAAGAACAAATGAAGAATGAGGAAATTGACTAAGGCCCTTCAGCAGAGTTCGTGTTTAGAAATGAATGCATGCCAGTGGACTGATTCCAGCTTCCCTTTGGAAACTTGGTCACTGGAACCAAGGCCCCACCTATTTTGATAGAAATAAAAAGTGCGTTTCCTGCTCAGCTCAGGTCAGGCAGAGGAAGAAAAGACACTCAGACTTGTTGGGCTGTGGGTATCATGGATCTCAAACACAGTCGTTCGGTGAAGCTGAGCGATGGGAACTTCATGCCTATCCTTGGATTTGGCACTTTTGCTTCTGAAGAAGTAAGTGGACCCCTGGGGGACTGAAGGGTTGGATGTCAACTAACATGAAAATCCTGCCAGAAGGCAGAGCCCTGTAACCTGGTGGACAGTGGGTAGCTTGGAAGGACTCACCTGGCCTTTTCTTTCACTGCCTCTACCTTGCTTCTGTTCGTGTTGTGGAGATTATTTTTTAGCACTTAGTGAGACAACAAGATACCAGCTCTGGAGATTTAGAGATTGACAATTTTGTGAGTGGCTTAACTCTATCATTGTTATTAATGCTACCTAACAAATCTCAGTGCTTACCACATATTTTAAGTACTTGGCATATATGAATAGAGTGAATCGTTGATGTACGTGTTCTTATTCATTACACTGTTGAGATAAAAAGCTCAGGTGTCTCTTTTTGCATTCTTCTGCTCTTGGCTGGAACTTCTTGGACAATTGTCCTAGGAGGAAATGGCTAGCAGCGATATGCTTTAGTAGATTGGCTATGAGTTTTTTTTAAAGAGGTGTATTTGCTAAAGAACTTCAACTATTCAAATATTAAACATTTCATACATGTATACAGCGTATTTTGATCATATTCATCCTCTACCATCTCCCTCAGTTCCTCTCAGGCACTCTCTGCTGCCTTCCAACTTCATGGAAACCCATGGAAATTAGTGGTACCCATTGTGTGTGATTATAGGCTGTCCACTGGATTGTTGTCAACATACCTGAAGCTACACCCCTAAACAAAGCTGACTGTCCCTCCCTCAGAAGCCAGCATTTGTCAATATCTCCTCAGCTAGGGGTGAGATCATGTGAGCCTTCTTCTGTCCATGCCTGGCTTCATCTTGTGTAGGTCTTGTGCAGACAGCCATAACTGCTGTGAATTCAGTAGTGCAGTGGTCCTGTCTTGTCCAGAAAACAGTTTCCCAGTAGCCTTCCTTGACCCCTGGCTCTTACTATCTTTCTGCCTCCTCTTCCATGATGTCCCCTGAGCCTTGGGAGTGTGTGTGTGTGTTTGTTACAGATGTCTCGTTTATGTCCGGGTACTCTATATACATTTATTCTCTGCACTTTTACCAGTTGTGAATCTTGGTATTAGCCATTGTCTACTACTTCTTTAATGAAGACTGAGAGCTGGACTAATCTATGGGTATAGAGATAAGTATTTAGAAGGCAGTCACACTTTTTAAATGTTTATAAGAAACCACATTTGTTTAACTCATAGGTATTTAGTAATAATTTACATGGCATAAAGAAACAATGGAGATGGGATTACACTTCTCACTGAATACATTGTCTACCCCTCTGACAGCTCACTGCATTGAACTTAAAGTGTTTTCTATCTGCAGTGAGGTTATGAGAAGCTTTGGGCCAGCTTGGGAATGACTGTCCCCAAATGACAGAGATCAATTTATTTGATCTTGGTGGAAGAATGCTATGAAATATCAATATCTGACAGGGCCAGATTTTTTCAGTGATACATATCCATTGTGATAGGTTAAGTATGAGGTACATGTTATATATATATA